CAAGCAAACCTCTGAGCTCTTCCGGCGTCTTTCTGGCCTGTGAGATGCCTGCTGGCCAGGTCCGAATTGGAGAGTGGCTGAGAAGTTTAGCATCAGCCAGTCCTGGGGTTAGCTGAGAAATCCTAGGAACACACAGCAGCTAACCAGCCTGCAAAAAAGAGGACTTTATAATTCTTTAAATTTTTTTATTTTATTTTTTAATTGGCATATAATTGTATGTATTTATGAGGTACACAGTGATGTTGGATAGGCTGCTTCTTATTTTTATGGATTATATTTATTTTTTAGTTGACATAATAATTGCACATATTTATGGGGTATATGGTGATGTTTTGATACATATAATGTATAACGATCAGATCAAAGTAATTATTAATAGCATAGCCATCGTCTCAAGCATTTATCATTTCTTTGTGTTGGGAACATTCAATAGCTCCCTTCTCGCTATTCGAAACTATGTATTGTTAACTGTACTCACCCTACAGTGCTGTAGAATAACAGTGCGGATGCCTCCTATCTAGCTGTCATTTTGTGTCGTTTTTTAACACTTCAGTCCCCAACCCCGAAGGCCACTGTTAGGAAATGCGCCACCGCCTGAGCTCCACATCCCACCCCCGGTCTGGGGAAAAATTGTCTCCCATGAAACAGTCCCTGGTGCCAAAAAAGTGGAGACTGCTGTTTTAACAAATCTCTCCCTATCTCTCCCTTCCCCCTGCCCTCCCAGCATCTAGGATCTTCTGTTCTACTTTTTACTTCTATGAGATTAACTTTTTTAAGCTTCCACATATCAGTGAGAACATGTGCTGTTTAACTTTCTGTGCCTGGTTTATTTCACTTTATGTCCTCCAGCTCCATCCGTGTTGCTGAGAATGACAGGATCCTATTCTTTTTATGACTAAATAATACTCCATTATGTATGTCTGCCACATTTCCTTCCTTCCTTCCTTCCTTCCTTCCTTCCTTCCTTCCTTCCTTCCTTCCTTCCTTCCTTCCTCTCTTCCTTCCTTCCTTCCTTCTTCTTCCTTCCTTCCCTCCTCCCTCCCTCTCCCTCCCTCCTCCTCCCTCCCTCCTTCCCTGTCTCGCTCTTTCGCCTGGGCTAAAGTGCAATGGTGTCATCATAGCTCACAGCAACCCCAAATTCCTGGGCTCAAACAATCCTCCTGCCTCAGCCTCCCAGTAGTTGGGACTACAGGCGTACGCCATTAGGCCTGACTGATTTTTTTATTTTTTGTAGAGATGGGGTCTTGCTGTTGCTCAGGCTGGTCTCAAACTCCTGACCTCAAGTGATCCTCCCGCCTCAGCCTCCCAAGTGCTAGGATTGTGGGCGTGAGCCACCACACCGGCCACATTTTTTTTATTCATTTATTGATAGACAATTATGTTGCTTCCGTATCTTGGCTCTTGTAAATAATGCTACAATAAACATGGGGGTGTAGATACGTCGTTGATATTCAGATTTCCTATCCTTTGGATAAATGCCCAGTAGTGGAATTGCTGGATAATATGGCAGTTCTATTTGTAGTTTTTTAAAGAACCTCTATACTGTTGGCTGTACTAATTCACATTCGCACCAACAGAGTATATGAAATCCCTGTTCCCACATCCTCACCAGCATCTGCTATTTGGTCTTTTCGATATAAACTATCTTAACTGGGGTGAGATGATTATCTTATTGTGGTTTAGATTTGCATTTCCCTAGTAATTAGTGATGTTGAGCTTTTTTTATATACCTGTTGGGCATTTGTGTAACTTCTCTTGAGAAATGTCTCTTCAGATCATTTGCCCATTTTTTAATTGTTTGTTTGTTTTAAGAGCGCTTTTTAAGAAGCAAATAGTTCAGAGGCCTCATCCTGCTGCCGCTCTGGCCTCCCAGGTTCCCTCCGCTGCTGTTGATCTCATCTTCTGGCCCGATGCCCTCTGCACCCTGCAGGTAGGCGCCCAGACCCGGAACTTTCTGAGTGGTTTCAGCTCACCTGTGTTTCAACTGCAAGCAGCCAGATGCCCTGCCCAGGTAGGTTTCGTCTAATGTTTTTTAAAAAGTTACATATTTTATTTTTTCCCCATCGTGGTTTTGACCCAGCTACCACTGGCCCTAGTTTTGCATTCTGCATTGGTTACCCTTTGCAATACAATAATAATAAAACCTGCCATGTGGATTTTAGTCACTTTTCCCAGAATCCTTGAGCAAATATTTTATTCATGCTTTCCAAGGGTGCTGTCCGAAGTGATTTCTCCACCCATTTTATATAAGAGGCCATCGGAGCTCAGAGATGTTATTTGACCCATCAATGTGGCCAGGCCTGGTGGTGACTCTGACTGAGCCTAAGTCTGTCGGGGTCGGTCCACTCTGAGAGTTCCCACCTGGGGGCCAGGTGTGCTCCACTGCACCCTCCAGCCGTTACACGCTAGGGCAGTAGGAGCACTGGTCCAATGTCTGTGACGGAAACCATGGCTGTGCAGTGAGACACCCGAGCCACGCAGCTGAGGGGCTGACCAGCCCTGGGCTCTGGCCTTCACGCGGAGCCCAGCCTCCCTGGTTCTCTCCACGGCCCTCGCCATCCTGGAACTCTCCCGTGTCTGCGGGCCAGCCCGCTTCACTACACAAGGTGGGATTTGGACAGACCACTTCTCAGGCAGGGCTGCCTAACCCAGATTAATTCAAACATTCTGTGAACCCGAATGAGGAGAAATTGCATCTTTATTTTCATTAACTAGGTATAATTCAGCATTTCCTCCCAGTCTGAATACAGACAACAAACCACAGTATCAGTAGGACATAAATTGTAGATGTTTTCATGTTGTGTGACAGTGTTTGTCAAGATCTCAAAACCTTGTTGCTGCCCACCACCACTGCAGAATTATGGCAGTGAGTAGAGGTTAGTGCAGACGTAGAGAGGTACTAATATCACTCTTAGAAATTTATCACTCTAAAATATTTTATCTGTAAAGTATTTTGACAACTGCATTTCAATAAAGCATAAAGTAGTCCCATGTTTCTTATTTAGTTAAAAACAGCATTCCGAGAGGATTGTGCAGGGCCCTCTAGTCAGAGGCATTGCTTACTCCCACCTGGGTTCTGGAGACGTCTGTGGAGGTCACTGTGCTTTTGCTGATTTTTCATGCTGGTAGGAGGAAAAAAAAAATCCCATCTTCCCTGGTACCTGTTAATACCCCTGCCATCCTGGTGTGACCAGAGGAAGACTAGAAACATCTTCCCTGGAGGTTGCTGGGAACACAGCATCCACACCTTCCCTCGCCCCCCACCGGTCAGAGCCTGCACCCCAGCGCCCCACCACGCCAGACCACCCAGTCAGAATCCGTATCTCAACACATTCTCCCCCCACCCCCCAACTTGTCTGCCAATGCAAGTTTGAGAAGCCCCAGGCTCCTTCCTTCTGAGACCATGAAAAATTCAACCACAAGAACGGTGGCCATCAGCCAAAACTGGGACCCAAAAAGCTTTGGCCAAAATACTGTTTTATGGACCCCAAACAGTCTCCATCACAATTTTGGCCCAGTCCAGGAGCTCCCTGGGTACTTCGTTCTATCAGTCAAGTGTGGCTTCTTCAGGAGCAGGTAGGCAGCTCCCCAGAGCGTGTCTGCTATGGACTGTATATTCGTGTCCTCCCAAATTCCTGTGTTCATGTGTTAAATTTGAAACATTGCTGAAACATCTGCTTCTGCATCCACACATTTAAAAGGATGCTTTTCCCTTTGGTGGGTTAACTTTTATTTGAAACTTATATCCACTCCTGCAGACGTTATTAGTGTAGGAATCCCAAACCAGCTGGTCCCAGAGCGGCTTGTTCGATGGGACCGGGACAGCCCGAGCAGTTACACTGACCACACCACGCCCGGTCCACAGCTGGCCCGCGGGCAGGGCCTGTGCTGTCAAACCCTAGATGGAGAAATCTGCTCCTGCTCAGCCCAAAGAGCAAATGTAAATGGCTCGAAGAACATCATTCTAGGTGAAATTACACTATTTTAAGGTCTGAACCAGAAGTGGCCCCTCCAACAGAAAGACTCAACTAGACATGCAAAGTCCCCAAGGCCTAACATCACAATTTAAAAGAAAAGCCACCTATCTCCAAGCGTGAGCAGAGAGCGCACGTACTATGGTGTGTTCTTTGCTATTCCATTTACAATTTATATCCAAATTGAGGAAATATATATGTGTATGTTTGTGTGTATACACACACACACACATATATATATGTGGCTCAGGTAATGACAATGGATAGTAGGAAATGAAAATGGCATACATAAATGTGTGTTCATATTGTCACATTCCCTTTGAATTTTAAAATAAAACAATAGTCTTCTTTCTTTCCTTCAGACAGTATCTGTTGTTAACTGAAACATTTCCAAAGCTCAGTCAGGGGACGAGCTTTGGGCATCAGGCCACCCACAGACACAGCTGGTGGTCCTCACGAATGCGTGTGGCCCCACCAGGCGCTAACGCGGTCCTTTCAGTCCTAGACAGCCTTTGCTTGCAAGGATTGACCTGCTTCTTAATCTTGCCTGACTCACGAAAGTCATAGGGACATGAAGAAATGCCATGAACCTCTTCCCCCAGGGCCACAAAATCACAGGGTTCTTTGAAATGAGTGCCTGGTAAAATGTGGGGCCTATGTCCTTTTCCCCCTGTCAAAGATAAAGCCAGACACTAGTTTGAACAGTAAAGATAGATTTTTAATCAGGAATATCTGTTGGAACAGAGAAAAGTCTAATGTGAAGTGAACTCAATTTTGATTTGTAGAGAGATGACTGGGCGTTTTAAAGGGAGAAGGAGGTCAGGTGTGGTGGCTCCTGCCTGTGACCCTAGCACTCTGGGAGGCCGAGTTGGAAGGGTTGCTCGAATCCAGGAGTTCAAGACCAACTTGAACAACATAGCAAGACCCTGTCTCTACAACAAATTTAAAAATTAGCCTGACATGGTGGGGGGCCCAGGAGTTCGAGGTTACAGTGAGTTATGATGGCACCACTGCACTCCAGCCTGGATGACAGAGCGAGTCCCTGTCTCCAAAATAATAATTATAATAAATTTTTGGGAAAAAAAATTAGAGAATGTAGGGTATAGGGAGGAGAACCTAGGGGACTTAATAGAGTCAGGGAAGTGAAAATTTACAAGAGTGGGGAGGGGGCGTTGGCCCACGTGAAACCCATCTGGCGTGCTCAGGGTGGTTGGGGAAGTCAGGCTCCTGCCCCCCACCGAGGCTGGAAGACGCCGGCTGTGGCGGGTAATCTGTGTCCACCTGACTGGCTCAGGGATGCCCAGGCAGCGGTGAAACGTCCCTGCTGGGCGCGTCTGCGGACGTGGTTCGGCGCAGAACACATTGTCTTCATCTCCCCCAGGAGGACGGGCGAGGCAAGGGTGACGGGTGACGGGCCCGGAGCTGCGCCGCTGGACGGTCCAGCAGGGCTGGGGACTGGGGGCTTGTCCTGCAGAGCTGGGCTGGCGAGGGAGTGTGAGCCTCTCTGAGCGGGTCCCTGTCAGTCGAGGATGGTGCTGCTCTCCGCCTGGGGGGAGTGCCCTGGGCGAGGCCAGAGGCCTCTAAGGGTGTGATTTCGGGCCTCCAGGAGGGCCAGTCTCTTCCTGTGTCTCTTGGGCCACTGGGCAGAAGGTCACCGGGCGGGGGTCAAGTGTCCACAGGCAGAGGAACGGCTTTAGGGGCTCGAGGAAAGACAGCCCAGAGAACCTGTAGACCTGGGACCCGTCTGTCACGTTGCGGAAGGAGATCTCTCTGGCGGCACAGTCCAGGGAAACGCCCACCCGGCGGAGGGGCTGAGAGGGACGCAGGCGGGTCCTCGGGTAGGAGAGAGCCCGGAACCTCTTCCTGTGAAGCTCCAGGGCCCAGAGCCCCTGCTGCGGGGACTTGGGGATCCTTCCCTTCCGACCCATGTCCTCCCGACACACGCCCAGGGTCCAGGCGCTCCTGTCCCCAACCTCCACTTCCCAGTAATACCTCCCGGTGCTGAACCGCTCCTGGGCCAGGACACAGGGGTCTGGGTCGAACCTCCCAGGGCTGGGGGGCAGGTCCCGGGCGAGGAGCAGCCGTGTGGCGCTCTTCCCGTCCTCAGACAGGCTGAGTTTGGCACTGGCGGTGTCCGGGTCCAGCGACGGGCTCACTGAGGGAAGAGGAGAGGGCCAGGCATCAGTGGAGTTGGGAATCCCGGGTTGGTCTCCCATACTGGGGCAGCCTCGTCTCTGGGGATCTCTTCACTGTCCCCGTGTCCTGTGCTCCAAGCCCGTACAAACAACCTGTCCCAAAGTGACCAAGACACGAGGCGGGGGGCTGGGGAGAAGGGCTCTTGGGGTGGCCTGGGGCCGCCCCCAGGTGGAAAATGGGCTTATTTCACAGAAGTGCTTGCTGGTGGGGTGTGTGTGAGACAGACGGACAGAGAGACAGAAGGAGACAAAGAGAGACAGAGGCAGAGACAAACAGAGACAGAGCTACAGAGGCAGAGATAGAGACAGAGAGAGACAGGCAGGGACAGAAAAAGAGATAAAGACAGTGAGACTGAGAGAGATACAAAGACAGAGATGGAGAGACAGAAGGACTGAGAGACACAGAGACATCGGGCGAGGCGCAGACAAGGACGAAGAGAGACAGAGATGGAGACACAGCAGAAGAGCTGGAGACCGAGCGGGGCCACACTGGCGGAGGACGTGGGGACACAGCCTGTTCACTAATCTGGGCGCTGTCCCCAGCTGTGGAGTCAGCAATGGCCAGACACCCCAAGAGGGGCCCCGCAGCCCCCGATGCTGAGATGAATGTCTTCCCAAAGAGCCCGCCTGCGAGAAGCCCTTCTCCCCAAGCCCGTGGGCCCTGCCCTCATGTCCCCACCGTCCCAGACGGGCCCTTTCTGTCCCGCTGTCCCAGAGCCAGAGGCAGCCAGGACGGCCGGGGGCCGGGCGGTTCCCTCCCTCCCGACAGCGCAGCAGCTGCAGTGGCGTCCAGAGCCCGTGCTGCTGTTCCCCGAGCTGCCGTCGTGCCCCGCGTCCTGGGTGGATGCCCAGGCATCCGTCATTCCCTGCACCTTCCTCTCTGTCGACTTGACCAGATCCGTGAGCCTTGTTCTCAAGACCCCGGCATTCCCCCAACGCCTCTTTATCTCCTTCCTGAAGGGAAACCCCGCTCCCCTCGCTTTCCAGCAGAGACTGTTAGCTGCTTCCCCCAGAGACATCCCTGTTCTTCCTCCCTTTCTTCTCCTCTTCCTCACCCAGAGCCTCCTCCACCGGCCACAGTGGGTGGAGCTGTGACCATCCCGTCTCCAGCGTGGCCACGGCCACCCCCGGCAGCCTCTCTCCTCACAGAACAACGGTTTCCCTCCACCCGAACGCTCTCGCCATTCAAAGAAATTATTTACTCACATTAAAAAATACTGTCTCAGACTTACAAAAAAGTTGCCAAAATAGCGTGCAGAAGGTGCATGTGATAGCATCTTGCACAGCCGTAGTAAAATGATCAAAACCAGAAAACTGATGTTGACACGACACACAAACAACTGTCACGTAATCTGCAGACCTTATTCAAATTCTGCCAACTGTCCCCTCCAGGTCCTCCCTTGGCCCATCTCCTGCTGGGGCGGGTTTGCCTCTCCTGGCCCCCGGCCCTCCTCAGCCCTTCCTCTGCATGCCACACTTGGAGGGAACGTCCAAGGGGCAGCCACTGATTCTTCTCTGATCATGTGACAGAGCCCCCCCGTGTTAGCAAAGCAGACTCCCCGGGTTCTCCCACATGGAGGACAGTCGCTGCGCTGGCTCTGCACACCTCCCTCTCTAAGGGTCTCAGAAAACAAAAAAGGAGCTCGGCGGGGCGCAGTGGCTCACGCCTGTGATCCTAGCACTCTCGGAGGCCGAGGCGGGCACATGGTTTGAGCTCAGGAGTTCGAGACCAGCCTGAGCAAGAGCGAGACCCCATCTCTACTAAAAAAAATAGAAATTAGGCCGGGCGCGGTGGCTCACGCCTGTAATCCTAGCTCTCTGGGGGAGGCCGAGGCGGGTGGGATGCTCGAGGTCAGGAGTTCAAACCAGCCTGAGCAAGAGCGAGACCCGTCTCTCTATAAATAGAAAGAAACTAATTGGCCAACTAATATATATAGAAAAAATTAGCCGGGCATGGTGGCACATGCCTGTAGTCCCAGCTACTTGGGAGGCTGAGGCAGCAGGATTGCTTGAGCCCAGGAGTTTGAGGTTGCTGTGAGCTAGGCTGACGCCACGGCACTCACTCTAGCCTAGGCAACAAAGCGAGACTCTGTCTCAAAAAAAAACAAAAAAAAATAGAAATTAATTGGCCAACTAAAAACATATAGAAAAAAATTAGCGTGGCCTGGTGGCACATGCCGGGAGGCTGAGGCAGGAGGATTGCTTGAGCCCAGGAGTTTGAGGTTGCTGTGAGCTAGGCTGACACCACAGGCAACAGAATAAGACTCCGTCTCAAAAAAAAAAAAAGGAAGCCTTTAGTGACAGCTAAGACAGGACTTTTACAAGGACATGGCTGCCATGAACCAGCATTTGACACAGCTTTATTGCTTTCTGGAATAGATAAGAACATATACTCATGCATACAATGCAGGCACACAATCACATGCACAGTCATGCACACGCACAATCACGTGAATACATGTGCTTGAGCACACATATATACACACAACACATAGGCACATGGAAACACATGTGTACATGCACACAGCCATACACCTACATGCATATGCATTCACATGCGTGCACACATGCATATACCCACACGTGCAAACACATATGTGCACTCACGTGTGTGTGCATGCACGGGTACACAGATACAGATGCACACATGTGTACACACATGCAGGAACATGCATCTGTGTGCAGACTAAGCCAGAGATGCTCTGGAGTTGCCTCCTGCTGCTTTCATCCGTCCTTCTCTCACCAGCCTGTTGAGCACCTCTGGGCTTTGCTTATCTCTGTCAGAAATGAGTGTGTGAGACCCATGTGCCACAGCAAGAACTTCCTGCCCTTTTATTGTCCTCTGAGACCAGCTCTGATCTGAGGGTCCCCAGAGCAAGCGCCCCATCCTTTTGTCCCCACGCGATGGAATTAGGTCTGTGTGTCTGGCTCCCTTTGCCTGTCAGAGTCTCGGGGGGCTGGGATGCAAAGGGTCCAAGCCTCTAAACGGGGCCCTCACCGTGCAGGAAGCCACTCTCCGTCCGGCCTGCAATGAAACAGAGAGACGAGATTGTGGGGTCAGCACAGCAGGACGGGCCACGGCTCACACTCCGGAAAGCTCAGGCAAAACGGAACTGGCTGAGCTCTTGGAGGTCGCCCTGTGAAGTGAGAACAGGTGTGTTCCTCAGTGCGCAGGGACACAGGAAGGGGTCTAATTCCCAAGGACAGCGTTTATATACAATGGCCCTTCGGCCCACACCTCCTCCAACCTTCCTGAGCCTGTCAGGACGGCGTCTCCCTAACCAGCCCAGGGACAATCTCCACTCCCAACACAGGGGTCTGGAGTCTAGGAGCAAGTGCCTCGCTCCTAACTGACACCCGAGGAAGCGAGTGGAATGAACGAAGGAAGAAACAGTGGATGTTGAAGATGATCACAATGCTCCCAACGGCAAGCCCGCCCGCGTGGCGGCCCTGCTGTGACACTGCTGCAGTGGTCGCCACGGCGACCTTTCAGGATAGCGTTATCTCCTCCAGCAGACAGACTAACTCAGGGTCCACACCCAGGTCCCTCAGCCAGCACGGACTTGGGGTTCAAGCTCAGATCTGTTTCCAAGTGGGAGGCCCCCCGGCCCCCCCAGGATCACGTGGTTTAGAACAACCCAGAGATCACCAAGAGGTAGACATTTTCACTGGGTAGGTGGTGACTGCAGGCCCAGAGCTGGAACCCCGCGGGCCATCCCCTCACTGCCGTGTCTGGGAACACGGAAGAAGGCCTGGCTCTCGGCTTTGCTTAGCGGCCGCAGGGGTGAGGGGCAGGACGTGCTCTGTCGGCTCCCTGCTCACCTGGCCATGGCTGGGCCCCGTCCCTGCTGGCCTGCTGTCTCTGTTCCTCTTCTCTCGGCTCTCTCTCTTCTTCCAGCTGGTTTCTGCTCTTCTGCCAACGTCTCCACCAGAGGCAGATGACTCCGGATGTCACGAGTCCCACTGCAGCGAAGATCAGAGGCGCAGATACTTTCCACGCTGAGAACGGGGACCTTGTGGAGAAGGAACCTGAAGAGGGTTTCAGGGAGTCAAGGAAGTTGGGGTGACAGAGCTTCTTTGCTCTTAGGACACACCTGCTAAGGGGCTTACGGGTCAAGGGGTGAGATCTTTACACACTACTCTGAGGTAGTTCACGGGGAAAAATATGTATTTATATAGATAGTGCCATGGTCGGAATGGTTGGACTCTCCCAAATTCATAGGGTGAAATCCTCACCCCCAAGGTGATGGTGCTAGGTGGTGGGGTCTTCGGGAGGTGATTAGGTCATGAATGGGATTATTGTCCTTATAAAAGAGCTTTCTCACACACACAAACTGCATCTCCCTTCTGCCACGTGAGGGCACGGCAAGAGGTGCCATCTATGGACCAGGAAGTGTGGCCTCACGGGACACTGAACCTGCCATACCTCGAGCTTGGACTTCCAGCCTCCAGAGTTGCGAGCACTAAACACCTGCTGTTTCTGAGTGGCGGGCGCTGTGTGACAGCAGCCCACACGGGCTCAGACAGCTGGATATAGCGATGTGCAAAGGAGATAGATACTGGATGTCTACCTATTTGTAGACAGAGAGAAGCAACCAAAATAAATGTGGCAAAATGGGGGAAATGTGGTGAATCTAGGGAAATTCACTATTACTCTTGCAAATTTTCTCTAAGTTTGACATTGCTGGGACTCAGAAAGTAATACCCCCAATGAAGGCCTCAGATCAGCCTCAGAAGCAAAATTGTTCTCAGCCCTATTCTTCCCCCGGGCTAGCCACAGAAACTAGAGTCCCTCTCCCCCACGGTGGGTCATAGAAACCAGAACCCTTTGTCCCCAAAGCCAGACATAAAACCTAAAAATGTGGCTCTAACTGCCCCCCTACCTGGCCATAAAGAGATTCCGTGACCCTCCTTGTTTGACTGTAGGTCCTGAGACCCTCATCCCAGAGCGGGCCCTGCCCACACCCAGGAGAAGGGTGCTGCTCGGGGAGGCCAAGAGGAATCCAGACAGGCCTCGCTGGGCTCCCCTCAGCCTGCTAGCGTCGGGTCACATCCTTTTCCTCCAACCGTATTCCCGCACGGCTGTCCGTGCTTTGTTTAACTCAAGCATAACGACGGGTGATTGCCCTGTGCCTTTGGGCCTTCATTCCGAAGGCTCCGTGTCATGTGATGATCAAACGAGTGTGGGTGCCTTTTCTGCTATCCATCTGCCTCTTGTCAGTGATTTTGAGCAAACCTTCAGAGAGGGAAGGGCAAGTTTTCCCCTGGTCCCAACAACATCATTCAGAAAAGTAAAAGTGGAAGTTTTTTTAATGAAAAGCTAAATTTGGAAGCAACCCAAGATGTCCTTCTGTACCTGAGCAGATAAACTGTGGCCCATCCAGGCAGTGGAATGTTGTTCAGGACTCAAAATTCAGGAGCTCTGGGGCCATGAAAAGAAAGGAGGAGCCCGAACTGCATGTGACTAAGTGAGAGGAGCCTGTCAGACAAGGCTGCATGCTGCCTGGTTCCAACCACGGGCCGTTCTGGAAACGTGGCTCTGTGGGGGCAGGGGAGAGGTCTGGTGTTGGCGGCGTGGGGGCCGAGGGGGGATGAGCAGGTGTGGCAGAGAGGACTCGGAAGGCAGAGACACTCCTTCATGTGACACAGTAATGGGGACACAAGTCCTTGTACATTTATCCAAACCCCCAAAATGCTCACGGAGAGTGAGGCCCCACGTGAACCATGCCCTCTGGGTGGCAATGGTGCGTCTGCGCAGGTTGCTTGAGTGTCACCACTGTGCCCCCGGGCAGGGCTTTTGTCCGGGGGAAACTGTGTCTGTGTGTCGGGGGGACGTGGGCAGTCTCTGCACTCCTCACTGGGATTTGCCCTGGGCAAGCAAACCACAGCTTATTTATCCGCTCAGGTGCGGAAGGACGTCTTGGTTGCTTTCAAATTTAACTTTTCATAAAAAAAAAAACAAAAAACTTCCACTTTTACTTTTCTAGATTGCTCCCCCAAATAAAGTCTATTTTAAAAAAAACTTACAAAGCTGGTAATTGGGGTGCATCCTCCTTGTTCCCCTGAAAGCAAAGTTCCCCTGGGGCTCTCTGTGCCCCACCTCTGTCCCAACCTAGTCACCAGCACACAAACTACACCTCCCGGGATCCCCCGGCCAGGCTGAGGACAGAGACCTGCCTCCCGTCCCCTCTTGCTGTGAGCCCCGCAGCTGTCGTCCTGAAGTCCGGTGCCCATTGACTGTGGGGACAGGACTGAACCGAGCACTCACCGGGTAGGTGGCTCTGGGCCACCTTCGTCTCCCGGAGGACGGGGTTGGAGATGGAGCAGGAGATACTCCCCGAGGTCCTGTCCTCAACAGTCACGCTGGACGCCACAGTCCAGAGGCCAGTGGTGGCCGAGGCCGAGAGACTGGTCACAGAAGGCATCGCCTGTCCCCTGGAGCCCGTCCACTCCACCTGCGGCTCCGGGTACCAGCCCTCTGAGGTGCACTGCACTCTGACGCCTCTGCCCTGCTCCTCCGCCACCTGCACTCTGGGCTCCGAGCCCAGCCCTAGATTGAAACAAAGACGTCTTGAGGATTTCAGCAGGTGTAGCTGTTGTTCTCAGACCGCCCACTGGGGTGACATTTGTGTGAGTGCCTAGCAGAGCACCCCCACCCCCCAGAAGAAAGGGGACAGAATGGAAAAGGTAGGGAAGGTTAAGTAAGTGGGGCGAACAGGACAGACCCAGGTCTGTCTGACTCCAAAGTACAAGTTCTGAGTCGCCCAGGAAAACTCCCTTATGCCAGAAACACTCTTCTCTCCCTCACCCTGTCTCCCTATATCTCTGTCTCTAGCTCTCCTTCTGTGTCTGCCTGTCTCTGATTCACTCCTTGTCTGTCTCTCTCTCCCTTGCTCTCTCTCTTTATTCTTTCTCATTCTTTCTCTGCCTCTATCTCTATCTCTCCCTCTCCGTCTCTCTCCCTCTCTGTCTCTGTCTGTCTCTCTCTCTCTCTCTCTCTCTCTGCCTCTTTCCACTTCAGCGGTTGTGACCAGGCAGGAAGGCGAGAGAACACAGTCCCGCACTGGGAACCACACTCCGCTGAGACGCGTGTGGGCCACCGTGCAGCACACTTGGGCAGATGCACCTGCTGGGAGGTGTGTGCCCTGAAATGTCCCCAGCCTTGAGCCCTCTGGGCCCTGGAGACAACAGTCTGGCCCTGGGCTTGGCACCGAGAGAGTGGCTCTGGGTTAACCAGGTGTCCGAGCGCCTGGACCTCACCTGCCACCTGCAGGTGCAGGGCAGCCTCGCTGTAGATGACGCCATCCTTGAAGCGGCAGCAGTACGTCCCGTTATCAAAGGCGGTGACGCTGAGGATCCTCACGCCGGCCTCGCCCGTGGCCACGCGGTCGCTCACAAGGGCCGTCCTGCCCGAGTAGTTTGCCAGCTGGTCCCCGGGGATGTCCTGTCCCTGCGTGTGCAGGTGCACGGCCGGGGAGGGCTGGTCCCTGTACCACCTCAGCTCCATGTTCTCAGCGCTGATGTTGGGGGACAGGCGGCACCACAGCTCGGCGACTCCCCCCACTGTGGCCTGGACAGGGCCGTCGGGCCCAAGGACCTTGAAATCGGCGTTCCCTTGGGGAAGCAGATCCAAAGGCACCAGGCTAAGGACCTGGGGGCTCCCACTGCTGCCCTGGTTTGTGTGTGGGGCCCCTGGACCCCAGGCTGCCATGGAAGGGCCTCTGGACGATGTCCTGAGCCCACCAGGCGGGGCTTCCAGCAGAACAGAGTCCCAGACCCCACAGACACGGGGCACAGGGCAGGGCTGGAGGACGGGCCCATCCGAATTTCTGGACAGGGTCTCCAGGGACAATGCCAGAATTAGGCCAATTTCAACGCGATCATAAACAACTGTCCGGAAGGACCTGGGTCCCATGTGGCCAGGGTGAAGGTCTCAGAGAGCCGAGTAACTCTGTCTGAGTCCCCAGCCGCTGCATCTGGCCGGGATCCCAGCCCTGCCGACCGAGTCTCCTCCCTGGGGCTGCCGGGGGACAGGGGGAACCGTGCTGGCCCCACGGGCTGTGCGACCACGGCCACCTCCCAGCACCATTCTGCGCGGGAAACCTCTTCCTGTGCCAGGGCAGCCGCGTCGTGTGGACGGGAGGGGTCTCCTACCGATTTTACAGCAGCCAGCAGGCAAGAGGTGCAGGAAGACCAGGGACAGGAAGCAGGTGGGCACAGAGGCATCTCCAGGGCATGTCTTTGCCATCCTTGCCGGGGCCGGAGAGACGCACGGGCCAGGATGCACCTCGGACTTGCAGGACCACAGCCACCGCCAGGAAACTAATAGGTGCAAAGGAACCACCACCTTGGAAGAAGAAAAACTTAGTTCACTCTCACACCCTGGCAAGGTATTAACCCTGGAAAGAGGCACAACAAGCCTCATCTGCTCTTGCCTCGTCTCCTTGGAATAACGTGCCTCTGGCTGTCGTCTGTCTGCAGAATTCCACAAAGACATCCTTAAGCGACACAGGTTTGATTTTCGCACCTACTTATGAAAGAGTTACCAACCAATCTCCAGCTGTTTACTGTCATGGAACACCAGAACGCTGGTGAAGAAATCCCGAACCGAGTCCAGGACCACATGGAGGCATTCCCTTAATGTCCTCTGTTTCCCGGCTGCCCACAGGACTTCGACAGAGAGGGGCTGGGACACAACTCCTCAGGGCTCCTTGGCGAGGATGGGGCGCCACGACACTGAGTAAGTGTCAGCACTTGTTGTGACCTCGTTTAGAGAGCAAGTGTCTGGAGACAGGTCTGCTGGCCATGCGGGCCCGCACAGCCTCCCAGGGGTGGCACTAACGAGCGTGACAAGGTGTCGTGTTGGACAAGGCTCTGCCCGGTTCTGTTCTCGCCTTTGAGGAAAGCCCTCGGCGTCTCCCCGCTCCTTTAGGACGGGGAGAGAGAGCAGAAAGCAAAGACACCGTGAGTGCTCTCAAAGTGGAAGACACGTCGCGGCTCAGCGGCTCTCGCCTGTAACCCCAGCACTCTGGAGGCTGAGGCAGGAGGATCGCTTGAGGCCAGGAGTTTGAGACCAGCCTGGATAACATAGCAAGATTCTATCTCTAAAAAGAAAAACAAAAAGTATTACCAGAGCGAGGTGCGGACCTGTAGTCCCAGCCATTCAGGAGGCTGACGCAGGAGGATCGTTTGAGCCCAAGATTTCAAGGCTGTGATGATGGCACTCCAGCCTGGGCCACAGAGCAAGACCCGGTCTCTAAAAGAATAGAAAACACAGAAAATACTCACCCAACGCCAAGAGCGGCTGCAGGCTTCCTAAGGAATTCCGGTGGTTCTGGGGGAGCCGATCAATTCTTGGCCAACTCCGGGTGGAGCGTAATCCAGGTGAACTGCTACCACCAGGCAGTGGGAGAAAAGGGGAGTCTGGAAATCTGGAGTCAGCCGAGCCCCTCGGTTCCAACAGGTTCCCCTATTACTCTTTTTTTTTTTTTTTTTGCAAAAATACCAGCTGTGCTTTTCTGTCAGTTGCATCAACCAAAAAACGTTTCCTGAGGGGCGTGATCATCGGTACTGAACACACTGAGGCTGGTAGCGGGAGATAAGGGAGGGACAGAGGCCAAGTGAGGTACCCCAGAAGCACAGCCTGTGGGGCCAGCACGATGCTCCCCCCTCACCCCCCCACCGCCCCAGGGAGGAGACTCGGTCGGCAGGGCTGGGATCCAGGCCAGACGCAGCGGCTGGGGACTCAGATAGAGTTCCTCGGCTCTCTGAGACCTTCACCCTGGCCATGAGGGACCCAGGTCCTTCCGGACAGTTGTTTATAATCACATTGAAATGGGCCTAATTCTGGCATTGTCCCTGGAGACCCTGTCCAGAAATTCGGATGGGCCCGTCCTCCAGCCCTGCCCAGCGCCCCGTGTCTGTGGGGTCCGAGACTCTGTTCCACTGGAAGCCCTGCCCAGTGGGCTCAGGACATTGTCCCTGACTTCCCCGCACTGAGTGGTCATGCCTTGGTCCCTCCTGGCCTTCCTCTGTTGATGGACAATCTGGACATTTTCCTGAATGGTTTTGCTGGGCAGGGCTCCAGGGAAGGGCTCTCTCGCTCCCTTGGCGGGTGGAGTGGCATTTGGTTCCACAGAGAGGAACTGAGGGCTCCCAGGCACCTGCCCTGGGCCGGGCCGTGGAGGAAATCCAACCGCCGACCGCCCCCTGCGTCCCTCCTCAGGCTCGGGTCTTTCTGGCGAGCCCCGTGCTCCTCCTTCCGTACTGAAATGGAAGGGTTATTTATGCCTGTCCGTTTACTGTCCTGTGATTTGCATTTTTCCAGACAAGGACGTGACCTCAAACTCAACTCACTTGTCCTTATGAGTCAGGAAGGGAGACTTCAATCTCAACCATCGAGAGAGGGCGAATGGTAGCAGAAGCCAGATGTGACACTTGCCATAGGAGGAGGAGTGGGTGACAGAGCGAGACCTGCCTCTTAAAAAATAAAATAAAAGAACGCTGTTCTGGAGGAGTGGGCTCCCGGCCACCAGCTGGGTGGCCCTGCCAAGATGGGCGAGGCCCAGAGCCTTTCGCTGCAGACACATTCGGGCCACCTGCCTCAGGTGTTTGGAGTCCAAAGACACGGAAGCCACATCAGCACGATTCCATTCATCTGAAATGACCAGAAGAGGCAACCCCAGAGAGACAGAAAGAAAATTGTGATTATCGAGCCGGGTGCGGTGGCTCATGCCTGTAATCCTAGCACTCTAGGAGGCCGAGGCAGGTGGATCACTTGAGCTCAGGAGTTAAGAGTCCAGTCTGAGCAAGAGCGAGACCCCGTCTCTACTAAAAATAGAAAAAATTAGTCTGGCAAGGTGGTGCATGCCTGTTGTCCCAGCTACTCAGGAGGCTGAGGCAGGAGGATCTCTTGAGCCCAAGAGTTTGAGGTTGCTGTGAGCAAGGCTGATGCCACAGCACTCTAGCCCAGGCCCCAGAGTGAGACTCTGTCTCAAAAAAAAAAAAAAAAAATTGTGGTCATCAGGGGCTGAGGTGATGGGGAAATGGAAATGAGATATAACTGCTCAACAATCTGGGGGTTTTATTTTAGGGTGATGAAAATATTTCAGACCCAAATAGAGGTGGTGGTTGCAAAACATTGTGAGCATACTACTGCTGCCAAAGGGTAATACTTTAAAATGGTCAATTTTATGCTATGTCAATTTTACCTCAATTGAAAATGAGAATAAGAAAGAAAAAAGAACATAGAAAAAATGAAGAAAAAAAGAATAAAAACAGAAAAGGGGGAGGAAAAACGAACAAAAACAAAGGGGAAAAAAAAAGAGCTGCACTTCTGCCCTCTAGTGGATGGATGAAATTAAAAAAAAAGTAGAACCAAAGTCTCAGCAACTTTAGTGAAAATGGTGTTTTGTGGCATTTGGCGCCCTCTGCAGGAAGGCGCGTGTCAGTACACCAGCCCCTCTTCCAGTGTCTTCTGAGGCTCTCTGTGTCTGGAGCAAGTCCTCCTGCATCTTGTCCCCTTCCTGTTCCTGGGACAGCTTTGCTGCCCTGGCCCCGAGAAGGCTGGCTTGTGTTCTGCTCTCTCAAAACTCCTCTGAAACAGCTAGACCAGGGTTTCCGCTTCCTACAAACAGCCGATTCCATGGGAGCAGGCTCCGAGGACAAATCACTCTATCTTCCATCTCTGCCCCTCCTCCCCACTCCCTGCACAAACTTTCCACTTCCCATGGTCCCCGGGACTGCGTGCACAGGTATTGCGGATCCTCTACACATGTAAAATGGTATCCACCCAAAGCATGGAGAACTCAGCTCCCCCCCTGGATCTCAAACCTGCTCCTCAAGGCTTTACAGCTCTGCACGCTGCCTGGCTCAGGCCCCAGGGGTGGCTTGCAGCAACCATCACCTCCTCACGTTTTCCCCAGGCCTCCCACTCCTGATGCAAAACATTAATTTTTCTCAATACTTTGTAAAGTGCTACATAAATGTAGCCGGAAGAGCCTCCTTATGAGCAGGTCTGTCACCAGCACCTCCTCTGTGGGCACTTCAGCGTTGCCTTGTGCACGACCACTGGAAAAGCCCTGGGCTGGCCGCTCCTGGGACAGGATCCAGCTGGAGGAAGAGGGAACTCTGGGTCCCTTAGGATAAGGAGGAAGTTCAACAGGAGACAGGAGGGCTTTATAACCTCAGGAGAAAAAGAGAAAGTGACATACATCCAACGGTAAGGACAAAAAAATAATTAAATTCAACGAAATATATGGGGTTGGGTTATTTCATTCCCAACAGTGGTTGTTCATCCAAAACAATCTCTGTGTCAGGCATTCAGGTCCCTTGGAGTGCACTAATGAATAAAGTCAACAAAAATACCTCTGACCTCAGGAGCTTCTCTCTTCCTCCTTCTCTAAATTATTTGGCCCTGGGATTTTATTTGTTGGGGGTGGCTTTGATTACTACATCAGTATGCTATAATGGTAGGTCTGTTTAAATTTTCTATTTCTTCATATCTAAAGTCTTGATACACTGTATCTTCTAGACACCTGTCCACCTCATCAACACTATCCTATTTGCTGTTTTCTGAGTTGTCTTCAAACACATGAAACAGCTCATGCTGGAGCTCTCTCCTTTGAATGTGAGGAATGTGATCGAGCCTTCAGATGTTCCCATGACCTTCGAAGACATGAAAGAATTCATACTGTAGATAAACCCCATGAATGTGAAGCATGTGGGAAAGCCTTCAGCCGCTCCAGTCAGCTTTATAGCCATGAAATGACACACACTGGAAAAAAAAAAACCCTATGAGTGTAAAAACTGTGGTAAATTCTTCAGGTGTTCCTGTTACCTTCGAAAACATGAACTGACTCATGGTGCACAAAAAAGCCCACGAAAAGCCTTTACATCTTCTAGGTCTTTTTCTCAACATAAAAAAACCTCATAGTGGAGAGAAACCCTATGGAATGTGGGAAATTATTCCTTTTTCTGAGTTGTTTTCAAACACATGAAAGAGCTCACACTGGAGAGAACCCTATGAATATGAGGAATGTGATAAAGCATGCGATATTACAAGTTCCCTTCAAAGACATGAAAGAACTCCTGCAGGAGAAAAACCCTATGAATTTTAAAACAATGCAGCAAGGGCTTCAGTTTTTCCAGTAATGTACGAAAACATGAAGGATTCATGCTGGAGAGAAACTCCTTTAATGTAAGAAATGTGGTAAAGGATTCAATTTTCCCAGTGCTTTCAAGGACATGAAATGCCCTTTGACCATAAGAAGTAAACCTTTAATTCTCCCATTTTTTGAGAACATGTAGTAAGGCCTTCCATTGTTCCAGTTCTGTTTGAAATCCTGGAAGAACTCATTTCTGAGAAAAGCCCTATAAATGTACAGAATGTGGGAATACCTTCATTTCTCTCACATACATTCAAAGACTCGTGATAAAATAGTGGAGATGGACCTTATAAATAAAAGAACGCACACTGGATTTAAACCCTACCGGGCAAAATAAAGCAAAGTTTTCAAGTGTAACTATTTCAAAAGTTATGTAAAACCTCCCGGTAGAAAGAAATCTTATAAATGTAAGTAACCTGGAAAGTCTGAAGCAAGTCCATTATGGTATAATGCTCAAAAAATTCTCACGGATGAAACAGTGTGCCAGTTATACATATATTGTTATTATCTGTAGCTCATTCTTAAAGAGGGTCTTTGGACAGTGGATTTCCACTTCTTGTACAAGGAAACAATCTCACCTTCTAGACACTACACAGCCTTCAGCCCACAACCTACAGAACCCTTCCTCCCTTGACTGTATGTGTCACAAATAACTGCTGTCCTAATCTTTCCAGTGACAGGCATCATGGGTTTGGCTGCCCCAGTGGCCCTTGAGTGCTAATTCAGCCCTCACCAGTGGGGCGGACTGGAGGGTACTAAAACGATTGGCAACAGGATGGACCAGCCATGAGCCATGACATCTGGTCAACTTTAACTGCTCATGGCTGACTGGTTACATGATACATTGAAAGTCCCCTGGGTCAGGGGATTGTTGATGGGCTTTCACGTGGGCCTACATGGCCCGTTG